TCAACAAAGCTTGACAAAGATGAAGGTGGTAAATGTGTGGATGTTAAATTGTATAGGTCAATGATTGGCTCTTTGCTCTATCTAACCGCAAGTAGACCGAACATTATGTTTAGTGTTTACTTATGTGCTAGATTTCAATCATGCCCTAAGGAATCACATTTACTAGCTGTTAAGAGGATCTTTAGATACCTTAAGGACACTCCTAGTTTAGGACTTTGGTATCCTAGAGACTAGCTTTAGCTTGCATGCCTTCTCTGATGTAGATTATGGAAGATGCAAAATAGATAGGAAAAGCACCCCCGATACTTGCCAATTCCTAGGAAATATGCTGATTTCTTGGTTTTCAAAGAAACAAAATTGTGTTGCATTATCTACCACTGAAGCGGAATACATTTCAGCATGTAGTTGTTGTGCATAAGTTTTATGGATGAAACAACAACTTTTTGATTATGGAGTTGAAGTTGGTACCATACCTATCAAGTGTGACAATACTAGTGATATTTGTCTCACTAAAAATTCCATCCAACACTCTAGAACTAAGCACATTGAAATTAGACATCACTTCATTAGAGACCATGTCACTAAGGAAGATGTAGTTCTAGAATTTGTTGATACTTTGCACCAATTAGCGGATATTTTACAAAACCTTTAGACAAAGAAAGATTTTGGACACTTAGGAGAGAATTAGGTTTAACTGACTTATATTCACTTAGTGTTTAAAATAATTTTAGCACTTTTTAGGATAAATGAAAAATGCTTATAAAAATAACTATTTTGATTGCATTTTTTTCTATTAGTTAGGGGGAGTTTATGATTCTTAGTAAAAATTGATTATATGTTCAAATAGAATGTAATTATAGATTTGATTGATTGAACATAGTTAATTTTCATAATATGAGTTGCCAATACCACTAGAGCTGGTTAATTTAGCATTATAATTGTTTAAAAACAGATTTTTAACATTTTGGTGCGCTAGGTATCGATACCCCCATTGCATGGGTACTGATTCCCCCTTTAAGTGGGTACCGATACCCTCCAGGGGGTCTGGTTTATTACGCCTAAATGAACATCTTTCTCTCAAACCCTCTTTTCTTCTCTTAATGCCGTGCAACTCATCTGTTCCACTCTAATCTCCATGTTTGCCAAAACCATCAAATATAAGTCGAAATTACTTCATATTTCAACTCCTAAACCTACTATCATCATTAATTTCGTGCAAACAACATCAAAATCAACTTAATCTTCACTTTTTAAGGTAACTTTTCTAAGCCCACTATTTTATTAATTTTAAACATAATTTTAATTAGTTCTAGATTGAAATAAACATTGGGCATTGCTTAGATTTTGGTTTAGAACTATAATCTACAATTAATTTCATCAAAAACACAAGATTTTTCAAGATTTTTTTTTAAAATTTTGAAATTAAAAAAAAAGTTTTTGATTTAATTATGTTTTTTCATGAAAAATTATACATATATTGATTTTCAAACCTTGTTTTCAAACTTGGTTTTCAAAAATTGCCCATTAGGATTATTTTAGAAAGCCTTGAAATAATGAGGACTCATTTGAGTTTTGGGATTGATATTATTGCATATATGTGTTCTAAAATTTGCAGGTTAATCTTTTCTATTCCAATTTCCTTAGTCATGTCTCAAAAACGCCCTAGAACATCCTCTCGTTGTTCAAACCAACCGCCAAACCCACTTCTAAATCCACCTCATATCCAACAATTTCCTAATCTCGATGATCCTAATATAACTATTCGTGATTCGTGCTTCAATGAACCTGGTCGTAGACAAAATCTCTTCTTCAGTTATTCTCAATATTTTGAGTCATACAAAATCCAGGAGGAACGAATCCCATCTCTTCAAACTATGTTAGAAATAGATTTTAAATATCTTCCTACCCTATGAGAGTGAAAATTTGATAAACTTTTTGAACTCGAACTAATAATTTATCATCAACTTGTTCGAATCTTCTATTCCAATTATATTTGTGTCCAAAACCGTGATAAAACCGAAACCTTAGGAATTAGATACTACCTTCTAGGAAAATTCATCTATATTGACCCGGAATACATTGATCGTACATTTGGATTAGATAATGTCGGCTTAGACAATGAAAAACAAATGGTAGGTACTCCTTATAAAAGAAAGGAGAGTGCGAGTGTATTAGATCTTCATGATCGTTTTCTTCATTTGATGATTTCTTGGTGGTTTCGACCATCCGGAGGAAAATACTCCACTCTTAGAGCCTTAGATCTTTGGTGGATACATTGTATCCAAAACAATAATAAAATAAACCTACCTCAGATTATCTTTGCTGGAATTGTTGAAACCGTAAACCTTGCTCCTAATAAGAAACTTTGTTCATCTCTAGTTTACGGTTGTATTCTAAGTAATCTGTTTGCCAAAGCCTAGCTTAGGGTAAGCCTTGATGCCGCAATCCCTCTCAAAAATCAAATTAACCTCATTTCCTTAACAAAATCGGGATGGATAAAGGATAAGCAAATAGGGCAATGGGTTCGATCTGTTGAGCATACACCGGGAGATAGTTCTTCAAGACCTACACCTATACCAGTAGCGGACGATGATCCTGAACTTCACCAGCTGATGCAAGACATTGACGAAGTTCCCGACGATGAGCCGGAGCAGCATGAGGAACAAGCACAACAAGAGGATCAAATGCCTCCATATTTTCGATCTTTTATGAGACATTCGACTTCCGGTATGCATCAATGGATTCACGGTTTACATCCATAGAGCCCCATTTATTTTCTATGGGGACTCAACAATTGGAGAATTAACAAGAAATTCGAGCTAATCGTGAAGCAATGGATAATCGATTCAATGCATAGACGATAGACTCGACTCATTTACACGAGATGTGGCTAATATATGGACACATCTATCTCCTCCCGATCCTCCAATGGAGTAGACCTTGCCTAGTTTCGATTCTGCTTAAGATTAAGTTTCAGATTTATAGCTTTGAATTGTTTAACATTTTGGATGTTTATGGATTGATCTATTTTGGATGTTTTATTTGTCTTGGATGTTTGAACTTATTTATATATATTTGGGTTTGATTTATGTTTTGCATCATTTACATCATTTACATATTAGTACATATGACCAATTTACCATTTCACATTATTTTTGAATATTGAATTATGGAACTAATGGCTAACATTTCTCTTGATTGTGATCTTAGCAGCTTACGCTTAATCTTAATCTATCAATTGGCTTAAATTTCAAAAATCTTATTTAAAATTATTTTAATATCTTTTTGATTTAACAAAAAGGGGGAGAAGTATTAAAGTAAGAGAGATTAATTTATTTTTAAAGTATTAGAGTAAGGGGGTAATTTCAAAATTTGATTTCAAAAATTATTTTCATAGAAAATCTTAAAATTACTCAAATGTTTTGTTATATCAAAAAGGGGGAGATTGTTGAAAACATTTTGATTTTTCGATATAACAAATTAAATGTTATTGGATTTCAAGATTTTCTAATCATTTTCAAGTATATATTCGATCAAACTATTAGAATATCAAAATATTACTCCAAGTTTTTCAAATGTCAAAATCAATCCTTACTCAAGTGTAAAAGTGTGTTTTAATCTTTTAAATAATTTTACAAAGTATTTCAAGCCTTAATCGAGCCAAAAATATTTTCTTTATAAATCTTAAAACGAAAAACTAGATTGTCCAGAGGGTACCGATACCCCCTAGAGAGTACTGATACCCCCAAGTAAGATTTGGCTTCGAGAAATAACAGATTGCTCGGAGGATACCGATACCCCTATCTGATAACGGTCGAAATATTTGAATTTTACATAGCAGGGTATCGATACCCTATGCAGGGGTACCGATACCCCCAATGCTCCAAGTTGTTTTATTAATTGTTTTCACACACTAACGGCTCTATTAACTCTACTAATGATCCCCCTAACGTTCAAAAATGATCTAAGGAGTATTTAAACAAGCTTAGGAGCCATTGATTAATAACAATTATCAAGAATCAAGAGAGAATCAAAGAAAAATCATCAAACCTCAAGTTTGAGCATTTTCAAGCCTATTTCATTCAATATTCATTTTTCCTTTCAAGAACACTTATTGTGTTCAATTGTATTATTCTTGAGTGTTCTTTCTTTGTTATAGAATTGTGCAAACATCTTTCATTGTGAGAATTTTCTTGTAAGTTTGCAAAATTTGTATTGTTCTCTTTGGGAGAGAGTGTTTTCAAGAATTTGGGATATAATTCTTGAGGGATTTGTAAGGTTACTCTTTATCCTCAAAAGAAAGACAAATTAGTGAATTTGTGGAAAATCCTTAGTGTGGATAACTAAGGTAGTGGATGTAGAATTTGGTTGAGAAAGTCGAACCACTCTAAATCGTTGTGCAAATATTTTCAATTTTCTGCAAAAGCTTCCACCGAAATTTTTATTGCCAATTCACCCCCCTCTTGGCCTATTTCATTGATCGATTAACTCAACACTCTACTTTGCCATATTCTCTGCCTGCTGCACCCTCTGCTCCACTAGCATCAGAACCCTTGCCTTCTTCATTGCCAAACAAAGCTTCAAGTTATGCCCTTCCTCTAGCTACTCTTGATATTAGTTTGCCAACGCTTTCTCCTCTGATGAGTTCTAGTTCGGAATTAAATTCCATTCTACCACCAATTGGCAACAAAAAAAGCAAAATCCCTACGTTGCCTTATCAAAGTACCTCTCAAGTTGTATCATCTGTTATTGAGATTTCAAATTCTATTTATGTGGAAACATATATACCATCATTGGTCACCCCTGGTCAGCTCTTGCAGTTAGGATCTATTGTTGTTTCTTCATCTCAGCCTACAGCTGCTGCAAATGAAGATGTGGAAGTGGTTCAAGTGTCCATGTCATTATTGCCTGAACTATCAGCACCTGTTGTCTTAGAAGCTCAGCCTCCATTATTGCCATTACTTGTTTCTTCCTATGTTGTCATTACCTATTTCTTCCTATGTTGCCCAAAAGGTAATTGAAGTTTCTATTTTTAACAAAGCTCAATTGAGTAAACATTGCTTTTTGAGACACGTTATGAAACAAATTCTCAAGTTAGTTATATTTTAGACATTAGTATTTATTTACTTTGACCAGCATTTTTTTATATCAAAAACTAAGTTCTAGCACCTAAAATGCATGTCACTAAGTTCCAAGATGTCTAATAAGTTTTGTAGACTGACTAGTGTACAGAGACTGACTAGTGTGTTTCAAATTTTCTCCGTAGCCAAATGGAGCTTCTTTTAAACCTCGCCATGGTTATAGAGGACATGAAAGAGGAAGAGGAAATGCAAGAGGAGCTGGGGTAAACTTCACTTACATTTTTAGTCTAAAGTTGTTTTTACAAATTTGAAAAGATGTTGCAAGTTGAATATTGTTATTGTCTTGTTGAAACTATGATTAAAAACTGAACCTTTTTATTTGAGCTTGTATTTACTGGATAGAAATCACTGATTGGGTTACTTTGTAGATATTTTAGGGATATTTTTTGGGTATTAATTTTCTTAAAGAAGAATTTGAATGGATTTTATTGGTGGTTATAATCATTCATCAATATTGACTCTATATTATTGTTGCTTATAATCATTTTGGTAGAGTTCACGCCCAGTCAAAAAATTTGCTGAAGATTTTGATTTTGAAGCAATGAATGAGAAATTTAAGAAAGATGAAGTATGGGGTCATCTAGGTAACCGTAGCAAATCTCATTCTAAGGATAATGAAGGGGATGCTAGTGATGAAGATGGTTATCAAGATGAAGATGGTGCTGAAATATCCAAGATTCAAGTCTAGGTTATGTTGCTACTGTTGGGAAATAACCGAGTAACGAGTAATTTCCCTATTACCAGATTAGTGAGAATGTGAAATAAAAGCGGAAAAATAATACCTGAAATTGATAACGGAGTTCATCAAATTTTGCCTACGCCTCCGGACAGCTGCAGATCTTTTACTAAAGAAAGAAAATTTATAGGTGTTTACAAAACACTCACTACTCACAAGAAAGCTCTCTAGTATTAGGAGAAAGAAATGATTTGGGATGATTTTGAAGCTAAATGAGCTAGGGTATTTATAGTTGAAGCTTAGGGACTAATATTTGAAAATACCATAAAGTGCAATGACTAAAATTGCATTTTCCCCATTTTTATTTCAAACAAAGTGGCTGCCTAACTTTGAACTCTAAGCAGCCCCATAATGCTTCCAAACTGCCGGCTGCCAAATGCATTAATTCAACCCTCGTTGCCATGCATTTCAATTTTTGCGGTAAAGAATTATTAATTCAACTTTCAACAATCTCTCACTCGAATATTGATTTTAATATGTCTTCACACCTTGATTAATACAACAGTATTTCTGGTCTTGCTACTCTAGCATGCCAACTGAAGTTGAACACAACTTCAGTTTGTCCGTAGTTACCGTCTTTGTCAACATGTCTGCTGGATTTTGAGCTCCACTAATCTTTTTAAGTTTCAAAATCCCATCTTCCAAAAGAGACCGGATAAAATGATATCTCAATTGTATGTGCTTCGTCCTGGAATGAAAAGATGGATTCTTCGCTAGATGGATAACACTTTGACTGTCGCAATACAAGACATTATTTTCTTGTTTCTTGCCTAACTCTTCCAAGAAACTTTGGAGTCAAACCATCTCATTGCTGGCTTCCGTAATAGCGACATATTCTGCTTCAGTTGTAGAGAGAGCAATTTACTTCTGTAGTTGAGAAACCCAACTCACTGCAGTACATCCTAGAGTGTAGACATACCCTGTAGTGCTCCTTCTGATGTCAATATTTCTGGCTAAGTCAGCATCTACATAGCATGTCAGTATCGTATCTCTACCTTTGAAACAAAGTACTTTGTTTGTAGTACCCCGCAGATATCTGAGGATCCATTTGATTGCTTCCCACTGTACCTTGCCTGGATTATTCATGTACCTTCTAACAGTTCCCACTGCATGGGTAATATCTGGTCTAGTACAAACCATGGAATACATCAGACTTCCAATTGATGAGGCATACGACACCTTCACCATGTGTGCACGTTCTTCCTCCGTCTTTAGTGACTGTTCTTTGGAGAGTCTAAAATGAACACCTAAATATGTACTTATTAGTTGAGCATCTTGCATGTTGAACTTGGAGAGTACTTTGTTGATGTACTCAGCTTGTGATAACAGAAAAGTCTCTGACTTTGTCTCTCTCTTAATCCTCATCCCAAGAATCTGCTTTGTAGCACCCAGATCCTTCATAGCAAACTACTTCGACAATTTTTGCTTCAAGTTTATAATCTCTTGCATATTTGAGCCTGCAACGAGCATGTCATCAACAAACAACAATAAAATAATGAAGTTGTTGTCGAACTTCTTGATGTAGCAACAATGATCTACTTGTCATCTGGTAAAACCACTACTACTCATGAAACTATCGAACTTTATGTACCATTGTCTTGGAGCTTGTTTTAAACCATACAAGCTCTCATTCAACCTGCATACCAGGTTTTTCTTGTCTGCCTCTATTAAGCCTTCTGGCTGCCTTATATAGATTTCTTCCTCCAAATAACCATGAAGGAAAGTTGTCTTCATATCTAACTGCTCAAGATGTAGATTCTTTGCAGCTACAATTTTTAATACTAGTCTGATTGTAGACAGCTTCACGATTGGAGAGAAAATTTCATTATAGTCAATACCTTTTTTTGATGAAAACCTTTGACAACCAATCTTGCTTTGTAGCGTTTACTCCCATCGTGCGCTTCTTTGATCCAGTAAATCCACTTTTTATGGAGCGCTTTCTTGTCTGGTGGTAATTTAGCTAATGCCCATGTCTGATTTGACATAAGTGAATCCATCTCATCTTTCATGGAAGACTCTTACTTGACTGAATCCTTCACCTGCATTGCTTCATCATAGCACTCTGGTTCACCATTATCAGTCACCAACAAGTAGTGCAAAGAAGACGAATAACGATGGGTTGGTTTAGAAATTCTGGAGGAGCGTCTTAATTCTGGTGCGCCTGATTCTTCTTGAACTGCTTCAGGACTGATTTGAACATCATTTCTAGAAATCTCCTCGAACTTAGCAAATTCCTTTGTTTCAACTTTGGTATTGGAGATACTTGATTTTATGGTTGACCTGTCTTTGTACATCACATTTTCATTGAAAATGACATCTCTGCTTCTGATGATCTTTCGATTTTCGTAGTCCCAAAACCGATAACCGAACTCATCACCACCATAACCGACAAAGACACATTTGTTGGACTTGGCATCAAGTTTACTTCTTTCAGCAGAATCTATGTGTACATAAGAAATACAACCAAACATTCTTAAGTGTGAAAGGTTTATTTCTTTCTTTCTCCAAACTTCTTCTGGTATTATGCCATCCAAAGGAACTGAGGGCCCACGGTTGATCAGGTAAGCTGCAGTATTGATAGCTTCAGCCCATAGAAATTTGGGTAATCCGGCATGTATCCTCATGCTTCTGGCATGTTTATTCAGAGTTCTGTTCATGCGCTCTACTATGTCATTTTGTTGCGGTGTCATGGGAACTGTTGTCTCCATCTTGATCCCATTGTTTGCGCAGAAATCTCTGAATCTCCTATTTTTGTACTCTCCTCCATTATCATACCTCAACCGCTTGACTTTCAAACCAGTCTCATTTTCCACCATGGCCTTCCATTTTCTGAATGTATCAAAGACTTCTGATTTCTTCTTTAGAAAATAAACTCACACCTTCCTTGTAGAATCATCGATGAAGGTGACATAATATAGTGAGCCTGCAAGAGATGGAACTGGAGATGGTCCCCATATATCAGTATGAACCAAATCTAACTTTTCTGCCTTGGATGTCTTGTCAATCTTTGCAAAGATAACTTTCTTTTGTTTGCCAAAGATGCAATCCTCACATAGTCTGACATCTACATTCTTTAGATCTGACAGCTTCCCTTTTGACAAAAGTTTCTTCATCCCTTTCTCGCTCATATGGCCAAGCCTTTGGTGACATATGTTTGATTTTTCATCAGCATCTGCTACTGCAATGATATTCTCTAAATTTGAGGTTACATAGAGAGTATCAGTCTTCTTACCACGAGAAATGACGAGTGCTCCTTTGGTAATCTTCCATTCACTACCTGAAAAGGTTGTGATATATCCTTTTCCATCAAGTTATCCTACAAAAATCAAATTTCTTTTGAGGCTAGGAATATGTCTTACTCTTATCAGCTTCCAGGTGGTCTGGTTTAGAAGCTTTAACCGGATGTCTCCTTTTCTGACGATATTCAAGGTTTCATCATCAGCTAGATGAACATTCCCAAAATCACCACTAACATAGTTCTCCATGATTTCTTGGCATGAGGTGAAGTGGAAAGATGCCCTTGAATCCAAGATCCATGATTCAATAGGAATGTTGACGCTTAGAATCATGGCATCACCTGTCTCCTCTGTCATATTGGCAAATTCCTGTGCGGTGGTATCTTTCTTCAGTGCTCGACAATCTCTTTTAAAGTGACCCTTCTTGCCACAATTATAACATGTATAATATTTCTTTCCCGTTCTTGATTTTCCTCTTATGGATTATCTGCCACAATTTGAATTTCTTTATGAAGTTCTCCATCTAGACTCCGTGTGCAAGGCTGAGGAGGTTAATGCTTCACCCTATTCTCTCTGTCGAATTTCTTCACTCAATACCAGATCCTGAACATCGTCGAATTTCAATTTTCTATTTCCTGATGAGCTACTGACTGCTGTAACAGTAGCATTCCAACTGTCTGGTAGAGATGATAAGAGAATTAAATCTCGAACCACATCATCAAATTTAATTTCCATGGAACTCAACTGGGTTGTGATTGTGTTGAGTTCATTTAGGTGTTGAGCCACTGATGCCCCTTCCGCCATCCGCAAATTGAATAATCGCCTCATCAAGTGAACTTTGTTTGAGGCTGATGGCTTCTCATACATACTGGAGAGAGCCGCCATAAGACCCGCCGTGGTATTTTCCTTTTCTATGTTAAAAGCAACATTTCGGGACAACGTCAGTCGGATAACTCCAAGGGCTTGTCTGTCGAGAAAAGCTCAGTCTTCATTCTTCATGCCATTTGGATGCTTTCCTGAGAGAGGTTGATATAGATTTTTATGGTACAGAAAATCTTCAATCTACATCTTCCAAAAGCCAAAGTCCGCACCATCGAACTTTTCAATTTTCACCTTCCCTTCGTCTGCAGTAATCGCTCCCACTCGAATATGGCTTCGTTTGGATCGTTTCTGATAATTTTTGCGAACCACCGTGTATTAGAACACCTCCGTCGACAAATTCCTATCGCCGACAAAATTTTTACTATTCACGAAATTCACTATTCACATTAATAATAATGAATAGTAACCTCGCAAAAAATTGACAAAATTTACAACCAAAAGCTCTGATTACCAGTTGGAGCGATGGCTGCAGATGAAGGGAATGTGAAAATTGAAAAGTTCGATGGTGCGGACTTTGGCTTTTGGAATATGAAGATTGAAGATTTTCTGTACCAGAAAAATCTATATCAACCTCTCTCAGGAAAGAAACTAGAAGGCATGAAGAATGAAGACTGAGCTCTTCTCGACAAACAAGCCCTCGGAGCTATCCGACTGACGTTGTCCCGAAATGTTGCTTTTAACATAGCAAAGGAAAAGACCACGGCGGGTCTTATGGCAGCTCTCTCTAGTATGTATGAGAAGCCATTGGCCTCAAACAAAGTTCACTTGATGAGGCGATTATTCAATTTGCGGATGGCGGAAGGGGCATCAGTGACTCAACACCTAAATGAGCTCAACAGC